TAGCAGGATTTAATTCCATTCGCTTTCCTTTCAGATAATCCGATAACTTCATAAGATCGCCGTTCAATTAGTCCACGACTTCTTCAGTAGTGTCACCAGCTGCATACATGTTAACGTCGTCAGCGAACTGAAGTACAGATGAGGCACTCACACATCCAGGAAGGCCTTTTACGTAAATGCTGAATAGCACTGGGCCCAACACAGACCCCTGCGGTACTCCTTGGCTGCAAGATGCACGAGGCAGATTGTCCGGCGCTCTGAGCTGCTGTGTCCTGTCACTCAGGTAATCTTTGAACCATACTAAAGCCGCATCACCAACTCCACAATTATAAAGTTCGTTCAGTAGCAGCTGATGATTGACGCTGTCGAACGCCTTCCTCACATCTGCGAGAACGACGCCAACGACCTTCTTCGAACCGAGATCCCTTTGCCAGCTGTCGATCGCAACAGCCAGAGCCTCTTCACATGAGTGATGCCGTCTGTACGCAAATTGTTGTGGCAGGATGATGTTGGGATTCTCCAGTAGGAGGTGAGTAAGCTGGTGATATACATGCTTCTCGAGGACCTTACTAGCAATGGGCAAGAGAGAGAAGTTTCGGAAGTTTCGCGGCTCTGAGCGGTCTCCGCGATTAATTAAAATGGGCTCTGACGGATGCGTGTTTGAACAAAGCTGGAAACTTGCTCTCCTCAATGGATGCCTTGAATATTGCACACAGTGAGCCTGCTAGAACTTCATGGCAATTCTTAAACAGGATCGAGGGTATTCTGTCCGGCCCCGGAGCCTTGTGTACGTTCAGAGTGCGAAGAATCTTCAAGATGTTGGTGACTGTAGGCTGCGGTATGGATAACATTGACGGCTGGCGATGTGGACCGAATGGACAGAGAAGTGGCGACCTGTGAGGCTCAATGACAATTTGTTGGAAAACCTGTGAGACTCCTTTGTGGTCGATTCCTTCGCCACTGTCCTTAGTCTTTCTGCGGAGCAATGCATTCATCAGGACCCATTGGTTCCGGGGCTGTTTCTTCACCAATATAAATTCATTCTGGTTATACCTGGAGCGGAGACGTCTGTTCAATAGCGTTCCTTTCCGCCGCACCCGACGGTATTCTTCTAAAAGGGCAGGATCGTTTCCTTTCTTTCTGACTCGACGGGGAGAAGGTACTGTCGCCATGCAAGGAGGGACCTAAGTTCTGGAGTAATCCATGGCTTTGGCGATCGTTTAATCAGTTGCATGTTTTTCACTACATGTGGATCTAGCTCGTCCAGGACATCATTAATGCTGCCATGCCATTTGTCTGCAAGGTCATCAACAGTAGTGTCAGCGGTGATTTTTTCCAGTCTCCGTGAGGGCTGAACCAATTCTTTCTGACATCTCTTCAAAGCCAAGTGTGGAGAGAGGCTTCTTTCGAGTAGTGACACGGATACGTTGTGGTCTGTCCACCTGGCTTCCTATTTCAAGACAAGCCTTTACAGCAAAGTGATCACTAATGGGATCTGGGATGACATTCACATTAACAGCAGTGGCATCGCTAGTAATGCAGATTACATCCAAACAAGACGTGGAACGGAATCTGGTTGGCTCAGCCACTACATTACGAACATTGTGGGCAGCACACATATCTCTGAAGTGGGAAGGAAGTGGATCGGATAAACAGTCTACATTTAGATCTCCTAGAATGCATAGCGAACCATGCTTGATCTGGCGAGTCACATCATCAATATAGCTAGTAAACTGTTCCCAGAATCCTACTCTTGACGACGGGGGTCGGTACACACAAACTATAGGCAGGCACCACGTGATGCGTCCGGGTCTGCGGAGCTCTAGTACCACACTCGCTGCCTCAAGCTCGCTATCATGTGGGCTTCAGTGAACGGAACCCATCCGTATTGTTCTTCGACCATACATGTACAGCAGTACACCGCCTCCTCCCTTTCCTCCACATCTGTCACGTCGAATGAGTTCAAAACCAGGCAGTGAAATCGTCGAGTCCGCAATCGACGCGTCCAGCCAAGTTTCAGTAATGCATAAAATGTCCAATGTATGTGTAACGATTAGGTCAAGTATATATAAAAGCTTGTTCCTAATGCTGCATATATTAATGTGGCAGATATTAAGCGTGGCCTCATTCTCTTGGCAGCGGAAAGAGCGTTTCAAAGAGCCCTAGATTGTCAAAATCAAGGAAACAGAACGTAAGTTATGGTGGAAATGGTGGAGTGAACTGCAATTGCGTATTTTCACGCGTTCAGTGGCACCTCAAAGGGTTAATAGACTTTTTTTTAAAGAGAACACAAACCTACAAATCATGTTGAAAGACAAAAAGTACATTGGACTGGGTAGGCGCTATCCACAATGCCAGTTAATAGCTGTGCTGATGAAATACATGGACACTGCCACATGCACGTAGATCTACATGTCCTCTCTCTCTCTCTCTCTCTCTCTCTCCCTCTCTCTCTCTCTCTCTCTCTCTCTCTCTCTCTCTCTCTCATGATCTCTCTCTCCCTCTCTCTCTCTCTCTCTGCTATTGGCGTGCCTGGTTGTGATGAAGCCGAGACCCAAGGTTGGCAGAGCATCCCAGACCACGCCACCACTCCCCTTATTCATGGCTCACACATGTCTAGTAAAAAATTTTTTTTAATGTACATACCGACACGACGGATGCATCGTCATCGTCAGGCAGGGCTGATGTACACCTTGAATTGGGCAAAGCGCGCACGCGACAGCTGTTCACTGTGTCCAGGTGTCAGGGTCCGCCATGTCCGCTACCAAACCACCGTCGCACCCCTACGCAGATCGCGATAAGACCTGAGCGATCTCCTCATCAGTCATTCTTTACCCTTCAGCATGATAGTATACCTAGGGAGCGTACAGTGAATGTTGTGCTCCCTGAGCTTACGGAACGTAGGCCACACATCGTTGCGTTTACTCTCCTCATCACAGGTCAGATCATGTGCAACGTAAACCTGTGTGTCGCCAAGCGCCGCCTGATGTTTATTGCGCATCAGGTGATCTTTGCCTGCGATGTTCTTGACAGCCGGACGCGAACCAGGCTGGGTTTGTTTATTGGTCGTGATGACTCATTGGCCGTAGATCTACGATCTCTCGGTTTGCCCAGTCTCTGAGCACATCCTGGGGGTTGAGCCCATTTGGGATCAGTCCTTGACCTGTCTGCACCAGCTGGGAAGATGTTTCTGCAACATTTTCTGGCACGCCTCGCAGAATGACGTTGTCCGATCCGCCAGAGCTAGAGCCACACGCTCAGCCTGCTCCTGAATGCACGAATGTGCCAAATTTGGTGTGGACTGTGCAATGATGTTGCTGTCTGATGATCGGTTAAAACCGTGAAACTGAGAGTTGCAGCAGAAACGCTTTTGATTCCTCTCAAGTGTGTGTATCCCGGGGATATGTATTCTTGGTACTACTTGCTACTAGTGTGGTTGGCTAAAACAGAGTGGATCTGATATAAGCCTCGCTAGCTCCATTGATTACGCAAGTAATATGAACCCCGAAATCAAACGAGTGGCGGGTACAACAACACACCTTCAAGCAGTTTAGCCCGTTGGCAACAGCCCCCTCACTACTGAGTATGTGGCATAAGTGCACCCACCAACCGAACTAGCTGGCATAATTAAGTGCACCCACCAACCGAACTAGCTGGCACAAGTGTACCCACCAACCGAACTAGCTGGCATAAGTGCACCGGCTGGTCTCTTGCTCAATTCACTACACATGACAAAACTGAGACCGCGTTGATCAAAAGGGAATTAGCAAACATCCCAAAGACGATATGCACGGGATTCTAGTGTTCAAAACCTGGCTCATCGAGGCAGTTGGCTAGCACAGAAGCAGCCTGAGAACAAAACTGGAGTTCGAAGAAAACTTGAAGCATTTCATGAAATAGAACCCCCCTCGGCCTCATCTAGCGCTATGCTCATATTTCGTGTACGTGAGCGCGAAAGAAAACATAATCATTGCCTGCTACGATAACAGCATCTCTGTAGATCAGCTGTACGCATCGCCCATACTAGTGCTGTGGCCAAAGGACCTTGGAGCGCGACTCGAGGTGACAAATAAGTCACCTTTCACAAACAAACCTCACGGTCCATTCGCGTGAGGGACATTAGGGAACATCACCAAGGATACCAACTTACTTACATGTATACAGCGAAGGGTCACCTACAAAAAAGTTTCAAATCTCGCGGCACTGCACAGTGTACCACAAAATCACCAAATATAGGAGCTCTCCACTCCGAGAGCGCTGCATTATTTACATGTATATTGTGGTCTCCGCAGATCTTCCAGTGGAAGTGAACAGGTAGACATATGTGCCAAGTAACCCCCCCCCCCCCCCCCCTCCGGGCTCCGATCCCTAATCCGGTTTGACCCTTAACCCGGGTTCTACTCTACTAGGTGACCCTTCTCTGTAAGTAAGTTGGTATCCTTGGTGATGTTCCCTAAAACTGTACATGGCTCGGATCGGTCACCTGTTCACTTCCACTGCAAGATCTAAGGCGTGAATGGTGGTGTGGAGTTTGAATATCCAGCCCTACCTGGGAAGCATCAAAAGGACTTCATTCGACTTGCTGCCAGCCGCATATGCCGCCACATAATGTCCTTTTCCCGCTTGCGAAGTCATATGTGGCCCCAAAGCAGTCAGTCTATTTTGGTGTTGTCTCAGTGTTAATCATCAGTCGGGTATCTGAATTTGGCATCGCTGGGGCGCGATACTGCCCGCATGCATGCAAGGGGTAATGTTTTGAGCCCTCAGGTCCCTCACGCGAATGGACCGTGAGGTTTGTTTGTGAAAGGTGACTTATTTGTCACCTCGAGTCGCGCTCTAAGGTCCTTTGGCCACAGCACTATGGGCGATGCGTACAGCTGATCTACAGAGATGCTGTAATCGGAGCAGGCAATGTTTTCTTTCGCGCTCACGTACACGAAATATGAGCATAGCGCTAGATGAGGCCGCGAGGGGGGTTCTATTTCATGAAATGCTTCAAGTTTTCTTCGAACTCCAGTTTTGTTCTCAGGCTGCTTCTGTGTTAGCAAACTGCCTCGATGAGCCAGGTTTTGAACACTAGAATCCCGTGCATGTCGTCTTTGGGATGTTTGCTAATTCCCCTTTGATCAACGCGGTCTCAGTTTTGTCATGTGTAGTGAATTGAGCAAAAGACCAGCTCGCAGGGCACTGCAAATCCCGTTCAAAACCGTGCAGCACTGGCCCAAGAAGTCTATAGTAGCCTAGGCCGGCGGGTTGCCGTCGCCGTTGTGTTGGCGCCTGAGTTGGTCCATTCTGCCGATCACCTGGAACGATGACTGCTCCCTATGAACGTTGCTCTGCCAGTCGCACCACATCGTCAATTGTTCACTTGGTGGTCAGTATCCTGTTCCTGCTGAGTGCCCTGCCCAAGCACGAAGCCACCGCAAGTGAGTGCTGAAAGCCGACTGTTATGTTGGCACTCAAGAGCGAGAGTTCGTAGATCCCGAATTTAGAGTGCATTTGCAAACGAAGTAGCTGGGAGGTCTGCATGCCTCAAGCTTTCTGGGTGGGAGTAGCACACTGTACGATGTAGCTCGTAGCACAGAAATCAGTTCAGTGCGCAAAAATAACGTATTCATATGTATGGGGCAGTTCAAAAGGAATAGGTCAGGTGCACAGGCAATACGGTGTACATGCGTGTTACACGGAAGCGAAAGATGCATGATGGCTTGCCATCGTGATTACTCCTTTTGCGCTGTCCTCACATTTAATGTCACAGTCTCACATTACAGGCAGTAAACCCTGGTTTAAGCGACCACCCCACGGTGCAAGCAAAAGCGGTCGTTAAAGCCAGGTGGTCTTTAGAACCAGGGCCCATACATTCGTTGTATATCGGTTGAGGAAATACATGTGCATGTGTGTACTTTCACATACAGTAAGACCTGGTTTAAGCGACCACCCCACGGTGCAAGCAAAAGCGGTCGTTAAAGCCAGGTGGTCTTTAGAACCAGGTCCCACCGTGTCCGTGTAGAACTGTCGGTGCATGGAAAGGCGGTCGTTAAGAGCAGGTGGTCGCTAAACCCAGAGGTCGATAAGAGCAGGTGGTTGCTAAACCCAGAGGTCGTTAAGAGCAGGTGGTCGCTAAACCCAGAGGTCGCTCACACCAGGCCTTACTGTACAGTCAACTTGGCTTATAACGACACTCGGTGGGGCGTCAAAAAGGTGTCCTTATTCGCGAAGTGTCGTTATACCCGAAGTCTCATTTTATGTATAATAGTGGGATGGGACTTTGCTCTGGGCATGGAAATTCTGTCGTTATTCGCGAATTGTCGTTATATCCGCAGTCGTTATTCGCGAAGTTGACTGTACTTATATTGACAGGTGCGAGCATAGAAGACTTTCGTGCAGGCAAAGCACACCTCACTGGATCCCTTGCAGTGCGTCCTGAACTGTCATCTTGGTCAATTGTCACTTCTGTTGACTGCATGCGTTTGCTTCAGAGCGCACTTCAACCCTGTTGCAGTCAACCAATATGGCGCTTTTAGTCAATTTTGGTCGCTTAAGTGCAGGTCCAATATGGCACTCGGTGCACTAAAAGTCAGTCACTGGCATGTGGTCTCTGTATTATTATTATCCAGTGCAGTTTCTGTGTAGAACTGTCGGTGCATGGAAAAAACGGTTGTTAAAAGTAGGTGGTTGCTAAACCCAGAGGTCGCTTACACCAGGATTTACTGTACTTGCATGTAGTATTGAAGTGCTTTGTAGTGTTTCACACGGCTACTAATTGCTACTAATTGCTACTAATTGCTACTAATTGCTACGACTCACTGGCATGAAGGACGTAGAGACTACACAGCACACTGCTCTTTTTTCGGATGGCAGATTTCCAGGTGTGCAGAGGGTGGAATTGTGGTATTTTAAATCACGAATTTGAGTAAGACTATTAACAACTTGCAGCCAATCCATACGACAATAAGTCTTGTTATTGGGGGGAATAATCAATTTATATGGTAATCCAAGCAGAGAATCTTACCTGAACCAGTATGTTGCTATATGTGTTGATAGTCTTGCCTCGAGTGTATATACTAGTAAAGCATCTTCAGGAGGGTAAGAAGCATTTTAAGAACCAGTAATTCACCCAAAAAAATCTACCATCGTCAAATGTTTCACTGGTTTGAGGGAAAGACACAAACGGGAAAAGTCTGAAGAAAAAATGGTCAAATTTATGGTGATAAAACTAATTGGGTGGATGTCTGTATTTCGTGACAGAAAATAACATGAAAATAACTCCAGTTCGGCATATATTCTGCAAAACACGGAACTTATCTCTTGTCACTGCTTGTTCAGATGTTAATGAGTGCGCTGGAGCTAACGAATGCCACGCAAACTCTACGTGTGCGGACACTGATGTGAGCTACCAGTGTACCTGCCTGGGCGGTTACAGCGGTGATGGGCGTAGCTGTATAAATGTGGACGAATGTCAGACTGGGACACACAACTGCTCTGCCAATGCCACCTGTACGGACACCACAGGATCGTACGTGTGTCAGTGCAGAGCTGGGTTCACGGGCAAGAACGGGACCGTGTGCGAAAACATTAATGAATGTAAGGGTAACGTATGCGCCAAAAATGCGTCTTGCGCCGATCTTGATGGATCTTTTAATTGCAGCTGCAATGCAGGTTTTATGGGAGATGGCCAACAAGAATGCTCCCCTATCGACGAGTGCCAAACCGGCAGTCATCTTTGTCACGGAAAGGCCGTCTGTACAAAGACGCCCGGCTCGTATTCCTGTGCATGCGGTGTAGGTTACACCGGTAGTGGTCGTACTTGCACCGATATTAATGAATGCCTGAACAGTACCCAGCCGTACAATAATTGCAGCAGTCATGCTGTGTGCAAGAACCTTGCCGGCGGCCACACGTGTACGTGCAAGACTGGCTTCACTGGCAATGGAACTACTTGCATCAGTAAGTTCCCGTTTCTTTTAATAAAGTTGTGAACGATACCATTCGGCTGTTCAATAATGCAACAATCTCTCCTCCTCTTCGCCTCCATGCGCTCACTTATCCGATACTTGGCTGCCCTCAGTAACCAGTACACACACCAATAATTTGAAACAACGAAGGGGTTACTGGTGCTTCAAGTATTTTATACTGATAATGATACTTCTGACAGCTGTTTCTCTTTTCTCAGCTCATTTCTTATGCTAAAAAAAGTCACGAGTTGCGTGAGGCTCGGCTAAAGGCCAAGTTTTCCGCATCCGTGGGAACACCACCACCCTTAATCAACAAGGCGCATGAATGAAAGACTGCATGACTGGGATTGTAATTTTCTATGTTTCGTTAAACTTGACCATTATCCGTCCGACAAAATGACTGTGCAGGCCAAAATTGCAATTTCACGATATATTTTACCTTCAAATTATCAAAACTTTAGTCTCAATTGGCTGAATTCCATGATCTTAGGCTTCTTGGAAACGTCTTGCCACGACGAATGCACGGAGCCCACATTCAACATCTCTAGAGCCACAGGGCAAGTGGTTTGCCAAACACACAAGTCATGTTACACAAAGCTTCAGGAAGCAATGCAATGGATCTTGAAGTTGTTTTGCACTTGGTTGCATTTTGCAAAGGAAAATGCTGTGTATTGTTGGCGGTGCCATGTATACACACAAACGCAGTAGTTAACTAGACTGTTTTGTGACTGCCCAACACTATTAATTATAATTATTTCTTTACGTTCCTCAGCCCTGGTTGGCTTTCAACCCCTATGCTGTGGGATGTGGAATAAATAGCTTGCCCTGAAAGAAGATGACAGCCGTATTGGATGCATGCTGCCTATTCCAGCAGTTTCTGTAATACTCTATAGCCAAGCCCTGACTAGCTCCGAACATAGGTCAAGCCATTGAAGTAATGCACGTAGTTTGAAAGAGTCTGCACACATCTAGGACCTTAATACCTGTTTCGAGATAGCACTGGGCATGTGTTTCTGCTATCGTTAAAATGGGTGCAATTCTCTGGTTGCAACATAAGTCGTGAAGCAGGCAGCTCATGCCAAACCTGTTGTGGGACGCTTTGCGAAAATAGTGGACCCTTGTAAAGTTCCTGTGATGGACATGTGGTCATGCTGAAGTGTACACGAACTCTGCTCACGTATTGATATGCTTTTGTCCCTTCTTGCTCACTCTAAATAACTTCCAGGTTGGGGTGCAGGAACATTTTAAATAGGACTCCGGTCAATTGTTTGTGATGGTGACATATTGTGGCCGAGCAGCACGGACTGGGGTAGGCAGATCCTATAATAAATCTTATCCATACGCCTTTCTCGATCCTCGTATGTCCGACTTCAGATATGCTTACAATTTGTCCTCGATTCACGTTACCTAACCTTGCCAATGAAACGGCATATAACGAAACCTACAAGCCAGGGCAGCGCCTCAAAATCCTCTGCCAAACTGGCTTTGAGCTGACAAGGGGTACCAGCAACACGGATATCTACATCTGCTTTACCAGGAGAGGCAGAAATGAATGGCGAGGTGATGCAACCTGCACCCAATGTGAGTGCGATAACGTTAAAGGCTGGGATCACCAGTCCACAATTGCAGTATGTGTGTGTGTGTGTGTGTGTGTGTGTGTGTGTGTGTGTGTGTGTGTGTGTGTGTGTGTGTCTGTGTGTGTGTGTGTGTGCATGTGTGTATGACCTAGGCCCATGGGCTTGTACGATGAAGCTTTGTGATGTTCGAACAAACCCTGGGCTTAAACGCGGGTGGGCATATCCGCGGGATTCTACGGTAATTCCTTAAGTAAGTGGGCTGTAGGGGCATCAGACACGCTATGGTCACTACGGCATTGACCATACCACCCTTCGTCCCAGGTGATACCCTGTGAATCCCCTTCATAAAAGGCACCGATTTCCGCTCTATAATTCGAAATTTTTCAGAGGAGCCATCAAAACTCAACAAGTGATTAGACTTCAGGTGGTTGGCTGTACCACCTTACAATACTTTCCGACTCCCCTGGAGTGGATGCAGATTTTATTTCAAAATTACCAGTTTTCAATTTGAAGTAAATTTGTGGAACTCTCAGCTTTCACTGAGTCGACCATTCTGATCCAAGTGAGCTTTGTGCTGGCTCTCAGGTTTCTGGGCTTCCCAGGGACCGTGGCCAAAGAATGGAAGAGAGGATTTGGGCCACTGGGCGCTTGCAGCATGATGGCATTGCATAACTACTGCATGGATGCATGAGATGTGTAGTATAAAAAAAGAGTAAATTATCGCGTCCGTTCCCAAAGGGAACTCATGACGGCCGCTAACACCCGGTAAACCCTAGCGGCAGATGCAGCGCCTAACGGTGGGGGTGAGTGGATAAGTCTCACAACCACTGGCACAAGTGCCGAGAACGACCTCATTAGCTGCATCCATGTACCCCTTGTGCCTGGGCACAAGTTCCCAGTTGACTGTGTGTGGGTAGCAACACGGCTGGAAAAACCACTCCCAGGCAGGACTTGAACCAGGTACCTCTCGTATCTCAATCATGGTCTTTGACCAACCCACTGTGCCTGCCTGGCGTGCAGTATCAAGAGTATATAACCCCCCAAGAGTGTGCAACTCTGCATATGGTGTCTCCGATGGTGAAACCCACATCGCGTGTCTCAGATACGTTCGTACTACGTACCAACGAAGGATAGCATGTGCACAATCCGAATTTCTGCCATGATCATGCTGGGGATTTGCATACCCGCAGTGAGTTTCTGTCAGAGAGTGCCTTTTATTACTCTGCTGCTCACTAAAAACGGGCTGGCAACGTACAACTGCGACACTGCAACACCTGATGTGAGTTTTCGCCGTCGGCGTACCCCATAGAAAGGGTACCAGGAGTTGCACCCTCTTGGGGGGTTATAATTATACTCTTGGTAGTATCTTAGGCTCTGCCATCGCAGCCACTTTGTAGGACGCAACAGATATTCACTACATGGGAAACAGTAATTGCTTACAACACAATTCTCTCCGTACAGTAGTTGATACGTCGACGAGGAGACAAAACCGCATATAATGGATAAAAATAACATGTACGCACTGATAGCATGACGCCTGATGAATGTCACATGATTACGACGTTAAACATCAGTGCTTATTGTTCCTCTGGTGTTGTGGTATGAGTGCGTACACATTATTTCTATCGAATATAAATGATGTGCTAGAGCTGTTAGCCAGTTAGTTGTAGAACGTCAGCACCGTCGGTCAGTGTCCTGCAATGTTGTCGCATGAGCTGATTGTTTAGTAACTGGTGGTGTTAGTGGATATTATAGCGTAACTTGTAGGTCCATTTTCTTTTGTATATATTTAATTCTTTTCACTGGTTTGAGGGAAAGATACCAATGGGAAACTGAGTCTGAAGAAAATTGACTGTCACCACCAGGACTCGAACCAGGGACCTTCGCTTGAGGCCAGATATGCTCTAACCACTGAGCTATGGCCTATATATTATACCGTATTATCTCTATTACAAGCATTGTCTCTTGTAGAAGCCTAGTCTCCATTATAAGCACACTCCAAGAGGGCTTCGGAGATGTACCAACTCAGTCTCCGATATAAGCGCAGGGCTTATAATGGAGAATTGTATGGATCATGTCCATGCATGCTGGGTGCCGCACATCACATAAACGCATACTGTGGTAAAAGTCTGTGATCCCGAGATCTAAAGTTCAGACTTACTCAGTGTACCAGGAAGCACAAACCTGCAGACCAGGTATCTTCTAGCTAGTGTTGGGAAACTTTGTGCTACTGATACGATACAAAATAATACGCAATATATATGCACCAGGTGGTTGGAAAATTATAAGCCCAGTCTCCAGTAGAAGCCCAGTCTCTAATATAAGCCCGGGTCCGGACTGGTTGAAATAATATATGCGCTGGGCTTATAATGGAGATAATACGGTAATTCTCCCATCACCTAGTTCCTCTGCTTGTGTCACTTTGGGACACTGTCTGTTTTGTGCCAGGCAGTTGGAGAAACTGGTTCCACTAAATCGCTGGCAGCGCTTTACATCATACTTGGTTTAGCGATGGCTTGTGCTGCTACCATTGGCGGTCTTTCCCTCCTTTCCCGAAGGGAGAAACTTTCATCCGGCAAACTCAAATTCCGTAAGTCGCCATGGGCCACAGCGCAGTATGTATTTTGACTGTGTGTGTATGTTTGATTAGGTATGTGTGATTGTGTATGTGGGTTGTTTTTGTTTGTTTTGTTTTCCTTCAGCAGGGGTGAATGCATGCATGTGTGCGCACATGTGCATGCATGTAGATCTGTGTGTGTGTGTGCGTGCACGCAGGTGTGTGTGTGTGTGTGTGCGTGTGTGTGTGTGTGTGTATGTGTGTGTGTGCGCATGGGGTGTGCATGTGCGTGCGCGTGCATGCGTCCGCGCAGGTGTGTGTGTGTGTGCGTGTGCGTGTGTGTGTGTGTGTGTGTGTGTGCGCCCGCGCGCGCGCGTGGGGTGTGCGTGTGCGTGCGCGTGCATGCGTGTGTGTGTTTGTGTGTTTGTGTGTTTGTGTGTTTGTGTGTGTGTGTGTGTTTGTGTGTGTGTTTGTGTGTGTGTGTGTGTTTGTGTGTGTGTGTGTGTGTGTGTGTGTGTGTGTGTGTGTGTGTGTGTGTGTGTGTGTGTGTGTGTGTGTGTGTGTGTGTGTGTGTGTGTGTGTGTGTGTGTGTGTGTGTGTGTGTGTGTGTGTGTGTGTGTGTGTGTGTGTGTGTGTGTGTGTGTGTGTGTGTGTGTGTGTGTGTGTGTGTGTGTGTGTGTGTGTGTGTGTGTGTGTGTGTGTGTGTGTGTGTGTGTGTGTGTGTGTGTGTGTGTGTGTGTGTGTGTGTGTGTGTGTGTGTGTGTGTGTGTGTGTGTGTGTGTGTGTGTGTGTGTGTGTGTGTGTGTGTGTGTGTGTGTGTGTGTGTGTGTGTGTGTGTGTGTGTGTGTGTGTGTGTGTGTGTGTGTGTGTGTGTGTGTGTGTGTGTGTGTGTGTGTGTGTGTGTGTGTGTGTGTGTGTGTGTGTGTGTGTGTGTGTGTGTGTGTGTGTGTGTGTGTGAGTGTGTGTGTAGTGAAGCTTCTATCAGATCTACTCTGATTTGGCCACCCACACTGCAGTCCATTTCAAAAACATTGACAATCAGGTTTTGGTCTTCAAAAGAATGTAGATAAGGGAAAATCGAAAAACAAAGTACATAGAAGGGCTAGTTAGCGCATGGAAAATTGTTCTATGAAGGTTTCGGAACAATTGGACCAGCCGTTAAGGAGTTAAATGGATTTTGGCTAGGTTTCTGGCCTTTTCCCTGGTTTAGACTTTGCCCAGGAAACCAGTAGCGATTTTCATCAAAAACCCACGATTTATCCTTGCCTTTTTGCCCTTGTGGTTATGAATGTTGTCTGCTGACCATGAAGTTGTGGGTTCAAATCCCAGCATATCTTCAACTCAAACTTTCTTTTCTTCGTTATTTTGTGAGTCAAGTCAGAAGGTGGCTGCCCCAAATGACTTGTTGAATGTTGTTGTTGGAGTTCGCGCTTCCTGCCGACTGACTGACACTTGACTCGCTCACGTCATGTGAACATACACACAACACTGAAACGGTGCGAGTGAGTAGAAGTCATTGCGTTTTAGCTACGTGTTGAATATACAGGCACATCGATCGATCGACTTCTTGTTGAGAATTATTTTAGTAATTCACGATCTCCAATTTATTTGAATTTATGAGTCGGCGGCATCTTCTATCAGCTTCCACAAGCGTCTGCTTTTCTCAGAATTTCGCTGAAGTCACACGGATCGATGGCTTTGCCAAGTCATGGCCTGGAGAATGAGTCCGTGTCCATGTCGTTTTCGTCACACGGTGAGAATAAATTGCATGGCAGGGACGGGACACAGCTCAAAGAAACTAATTGGTCACAAAACAAATCGGGCATGTCGATACGAGCAAGAAGTTAGTTGTTTGTTGTAAATCAGACGTACTGTACATGTGCCTGGGTGCGTGAGTGTCATAGTTGTCCATGCTTAAGCGCGGAATATCTCTTCGAGTTCACAGCGAATTTTTCCAGGCACCACATACGGTAAGGCGGCAAACTCTCCGGGCGATCTCCAGAATTGTCAATGTTTTTGAAATGGACTGTAGTAGCAAGTATTACGTTCACTGGGGGCAGGGGTAACTGCAGTTGGATTCCGGGACAGATACCCTGATGCCGTCAATCCTTTTTCTGCACCTTGTCCTCACCCACTTACCGAGTTCTGGCGAGCCCATAAGTGGGATCGTTTTCAAGTTCACCCAGAGTTTTGGGGATTTCAGGGGGTGTCGGCCGTCGGGTGGTTCAATAGCCAATTGAGTCATCTTTCCAAGATTCTTTTTGAGTCTCTCTTCCCTCTCCCGGGGAGACCCACGTGACCAAATTTGGCAGTGAGCAACAAGTACAAGTACAGTGTGTGTGTGTGTGTGTGTGTGTGTGTGTGTGTGTGTGTGTGTGTGAGTGTGTGTGTGTGTGCGTGTGTGTGTGTGTGCATGTGTGTGCGTGTGTGTGTGTGTGTGTGGGCGTGCGTGTGCGTGTGTGTGTGCGTGCATGTGTGCGTGTTTGTGTTTGTGTGTACATTTGTATGTGTATATAATTATACCGTAGTCATATGATTAATGCCCCTAGGGCATAGATGGGGCACTATTCAAGAGAGGGCACTAATGAAGAGAGGGCACTATTCAAGAGAGGGCACTATTCAAAAGAGGGCACTATTTTTCAATGCTGATAAATTTACTGCATTCATCATAAAACATAGAAGGCAAAGAAAAACAGAGCATAAAGCGCACATGTAAACTCTTACGACTCGACAAAAACAAAAACGGCAACAAGACCTGCAATTTTGATCCTGAAAGTACCATGCAGTGCAATGACATGGACAAGAACCTTAGTGAGAAGGAGCATCAAACTACAGTCCATTCCAAAACTATAGACGCGTTACATAGGCAAAAACCATTATGCCAGCATCTATACCACATAAAATCTGTGATCACTTTGTGCATAACATTTTCCAAATTACGCGTCTGTTATCCAATCGTTTAGAAACTATATGAGAGTAATTGTGGAGTGGACCTGAGCAATATTCCGAAAACTATTCTCAAAAAGCTCCAGCCAAATGTGAAGTATTTCAAAAACCCTACGCGTCTATAGTTTTGAAATGGACTCTAGCACATGCGCTTGGTTAAAAGCCCAGGGGGGGCACTATTCAAGAGAGGGCTTTGTTTTTACACTGGCTCCTAGGGGACAGGGGCACTATTCGACATAGGGAACTATTCAAGAGAGAGGTCCAATCGCACGAGTACGGTGTGTTGGTAGATGGGTGTATGTGTGTGTACATGACATGCCTGTGTGGAAGGAGGGAGGGGGGAGGGAGGGAGGGAGGGAGGGAGGGGAGAGACAGACAGACATACAGACAGACAGACAAAGGGAAAGAGAGTTACAGGGAGGTTAGGTGGGTGCCCTTTAGCCATCTCAACCTCTCCAAAACTAATCCACACACAAACACAGACACATGCACATGCACATACGCCTATCAGTGGACTGAAGGAGGATGTACAGTCAACTTCGCTGATAACGACTGCGGATATAACGACAATTTGCAAAATAATAATGACAGAATGTCCATGCCCAGAGCAAAGTTCCATGGAACTGTAATACATATAATGAAACTTCGGGTATAACGACACATCGCGAATAAGGACACTTTTTGATGCCCCGCAGAGTGTCGTTATAAGCAAAGTTGAATGTATTATTCAAATTTTACAAACAGATATTTGAGCAAGCGCAGATATTTTCAGCTTGATAAGTTGCTACATTGATTCACAGCTATGAAAGTACAGTCAAATCTGTCGTAAGCGACCGCCCCTTGGTGCAAGAAAAAGCGGTCTCTTACAGCAGATGTATGGTAAATCCGGCATAACGGGCATTATATGCTTCCATGTACTCAAATCGACGAGAATAATGTGATTTTTAATATCATTTTATTGGATATTCAATAGAATTATAGGGGTGCACAAACCCAAGAATAGTGCACATGCCAGGGCTAATATTGAGAGCTATAGCGCAGCCTCAGTACAGGCCAGGGCCAGTTGATCGCACTTGCAAGACAGCGCATTTTCACACCTTGCAGTTGACAGCGCACTGGCAAGTACAGTTTCGCACCTGACTGAACCTGGGTCGCGGTCGTTTACAGCAGATTTGAATGCAGCCATCGTGCATGAAATCGCGGTCGCTGGTCGCGCACAGCAGATGGTCGCTCTGGACAGATCAATTTGTATGTGAAACCGTCGGTGCACAGAAAATCGGTCGCTAACGGTAGATGGTCGCCTACAGCAGAGGTCGCTAACGGCAGATTTGGCTGTACATAAAAGACATTAGGTAAATAACAAGTTGAGATCTAAGAGATTTGAATACGATACAAATTTTGGTAATTCTTGAAGGAAAGTGTGCGCATAGCAATTCCAAAATGAGTGCACTAATTTCAAAAGAAAAGGTGTCAGCACCGACGCATTCCACACTGTCAAGTCAGCCAATTTAGTAGCCGAACGTTTTCGTTCCCGTCTCATCATGGGTAAGTACAGGGAATAATGGAAAAATGTCAAAAATACAGCAACTTGTGGAGCTACAGCAAAACGATAGATCCAGAACTTCACGCTATACGTGTGGAAATTGTTTTTAGCAGAACAGGTCAAAAACAGGGTGAAGGTGAAGTTCTGCTGAATTTCATCTTTTCCACACGTATAGCGTGAGGTTCTCGATCTATCGTTTTGCTGTAGCTCTATAAATTGCTGTATTTTGACATTTTTCAATTGTACTTACCCATGATGAGAAGGGTGCGAAAACGTTCGGTTACTTAATTGGCTTACTTGACTGTGTGGATTGCGTCGGTGCTGACACCTTCTTCTTCGAAATTGGATATGCCTCCATTTCTTTCTTACATTGAATGCAGTAATGATTCTATTACAATTCTCTCTTCTTCCTTTCTTTCTTCCATTGCAGTTGATGAATTCAGCACAGTTACAAAGAGGGTTGTTGACTGGATGCGTCCTCCGGTGCAGAGGGTTCTCGACTGGATGCATCCTCCGGTGAAGAGGGCCTTTGACAAATCCGTACGCTTCAGTAAAAATGCTAAAAGCTCCTTGGTGAAACGCACAGCATCTAAAGAGGGCAGACAGTCCTTCCACATCCGCGCGTACATGACCGTTCGAGCCAAGGCCACGGGTAAGAAACAGGCCGACGACACTAGCACCGACACACCCAAGCAGAGGCGATCCACAGTCCCCGCCTCGGCGCACGTCGAGATCAGTGGCCCGATTCCGATCCCCGGCAAAGAAGTTGAGGAGGTCTACAGGGGCTTCACCAGACCTGTGCTGCTCGAAGGTGACGGCAGTCTTGCAGGCGATGAGATACAAGATGAGGACTATGTGTGTCCAGATGTATGCCGTCCTATAGCCGTATCAGCAAGGCCCAACGCTATCCACGAGGATGTTT